CAAGTCATTTATTTATCTTGGAAATTTTCGTATCAATACTAGAAACTGCCAAGCTTCGGATGATAGTTAAAAAAAACGGGCACTAATATAAAGGGTATAACTCGTAGCATGCACTCCTTGAATAAGTATTACACATTTAAAAAAAATTAGGTTTGGCTCGAACAATTACCAATATGCAAATATACCCCCTCCATCCATTTTTTTTAACCAGTAATTTAAGAAATATATATAAACATTAAGCCATTCTATTTTGTACATAATGGCGTTAAAGATTTGAATATTATGTGACTTTCACACACAGTAATTACAAAACAAAATTTTTTGTTGTTGAATGTTATGTTTTGTAGTCACGATACGTTAATTAAATAGTATTTTTTTTAAGAAAATCATATGACAACAAGATTTAAGTTATTATTATTAAATCATTGTAAATAGTCAACACTTGCTTAACGCGGGCCCCATGTAAGAGATTTAACCACGTCCCGCATGGAAGGGGCCAAGTCGTGCCCCCCTCCCTTCATAGAAAGTCAAATGGTTGAGTTGGATGTAGGGATTAAAGGCACAAGGTCCAAAAAAAGAACGTGCTGCTCCAAACAAACTATTAGAAAACAAATGAAAAGGAAAAATGTGTACTAGCGGTAAAATATACGCAAATCGCGAAATGTGCACTAAAATACATGAGATTGATAAAACGGTAAAGACAAAACACACGTGCATTCAAATCTAAATAAAATCAGCTAAAATTTTAATAATGATAAAATTAGTTATTCTGAAAGTCTGCCTGTTCGCTAACTCGAAAACAGGAGTACCGATTTTAATAGCGTTTTTTTTTTCTTTCCATTCTAAGATTAACAAATTTTTATAGGATGGTTTGACCACTTTTCGTTGCCATGCAGCTCGGGCGCAGTATTGAATATACGGAATTCCATTGTTGAAACCTATTGTAACAGATTAAATTTTCCTTCATTTCTTTCCAATGGCTTCACCGATTTTAACGGCGTTTTTTGTTGCAGATTGCTATTATTTTTTTTTTGGGGGGGGGTCATATCGCGTTGCTTTCTACCCCTCTGCACCCCTTCTCATTATCTCTTCAAAAAATAAAGAAGTGGACAAAATCTTGAAAAACATGAAATACCCATTTACAGCTTGCTAAGTTCATAAATTCTAAAGAGAAAGCGCTAGCTAAAAGCGAATAAGTATGCTAGCATAAGTCATCGGAAACTAAAGAAATAGCATATTTAACAGTCACAGTTAATTTTCAATATAAATATAACAAAATAAACTCGTTCAATTTCAATACGTTCACATTTATTAAACCTTAATACTAGAACATTTTGTTTCCAAATTATAATATATGTTTTTTGATATCTTTTTTAAGCACAATTTTTTTCATTAATTTTCTAAACTATTTTGCTATACTTTAATTGAAAATATCATAAAATTTATAAAAAAATAATCCAAAATATTTGATAGCCAGAGGTTGAGCACCAACGGCGATAAAATGCATTAAACTACATAAATTATATGTTTGTGTACTCACATTTAAGACCTATATCAGGTAAGTCTTAAATCCTGAGTCTAAACACTAAGAGGAGAAAATTTTTTAACAGCAAAAAATATTTGGTCAAGGCATAAAAAGTTAAATAAAATTAATTGACAATCAAAAGTGTCTTTTAACTTAAAAAAAATTATAATGTTACCGGCAAAGTATGAAATCCGGCATTATATATAATGCCTAAAACTGTGAAATGATTTATATTTCACACATTGCCTAGGCGGATATAATGCCGGATGCTATTTAGGCAAAGTATGAAATAAACGTCCTGATGAGGTTATTATGTAAATGTATGAAAATGAGTTATAATGTGCATGTTACTGTGAATGACCGAAATCGGCGGTTGTTGACTTTCACCGGTGAATGTTGACAATCACATGGTCGCTTTGGTGAATGTCCGAAATATTTATTACATCCAATTCGATATTAATTTATTCGTGGATATAATTACATTTATTCAATATTTTAATACTTACTGACGATAGATTAGAAGAAACATCAGTGTTTGGACTACCGGGCAATGATACTTGACCTTAAAAAACATCAGTGTAGAGGATATACCGGGCAGTGGCCCTTAACTAGACCTAGTAGACCCTTTGGGACATTTACCAAAGGTCTAGTCATTAGTTAAGTGCCACTGCCCGGTATACATTTGCCCAGTATACCCTACACTGATGTTTTTTTAAGGCCAAGTGTCATTGCCCGGTATACATTTGCCTGATACTCCAAACACTGATGTTTCTTCTTATCTATCGTCAGTAAGTATTAAAATATGTGTGAAAAAATGATTTCATTTAATCTAAGAAGAGTCAAGTGTTTACTTAGGTATATAAAAAATATTTTATTTATATTTGAGATAATTTTGAGGTTACAGTGAAGCCGATTATTGTTTATTCAGATTTCACAATATTGAGAACGAAGAAGCCTTTGATTCGGAGATTTTTAAAATATTTCAAAATTAATAGTGTAGACTTAAAGCACTCAAAAATTTGAATAAAAATTTTTCTACGCTATCTAAAACACTTCAATTTTACATCATTGAGGTTTTTAAGATGGTTTTAAAATTGAAAATTTTTTCAAGTATTTTAGAACACACGAAGACTGAAAATAGTAGTCAATATTAAAAAACACTTAAAAAACTCTTAATTCAAAATGTAAATAATTTTTCTTTAACATCGTTGAACTACCTGCAATTTTTTAACAAAATTCACACTATTGATATAGAAGAATTATTCTGTTATACTGACGGACATCGGTAGCTGAAAGTAATTGATAAATAAAATGCGCACTTTTTGGTTAGCCCTGCGCAAAGAAATTTAGCCATTTTTTTAAAAACATATATGCATATTTTTAAGAAATAGCTAAATTATTGGCAAATTTCATAGTATTGATATAGAATTACTTTGTTTCAATGATCTGTAGCTGAGAGTAACTGGGACATCAAATGTGTACTTTTCGATTAGCCAGGAGCAAGGAAATGCAAAGATTTAAAAAAAATGTAAAAGATATATATAATATAATTAAAAAAGGTTGGCGGAGGTCTACATTTCTTAGCAACTTTTTGCTTGTGAAAAAAAAAAAAAAAAAAAAACTTGTGATGTTTCTTTTTTAGTTNAAAAAAATAGAAACTGAGCTTATATAAATTTATTAGCATTAAGTTACGTAGAAAAATGATCTCTTTGGGATGCAATAAGCTGTTAGAGGGATGCTTATTGACTTTTAAACTAATACGTTTTACAAGTAATATTCATTTGAGAAAGAAAAAAAAAAATTTTTAGTGAAAAAAAAAATGATACATTTTATTAGCAAAAAACATTAAAAATAGCTATTCTATTTAATATAATTCTTACAAAAATATATTTATTAATATTAACAAACAGGAACATCTCAAATCTTGTCATTTGTCTTTGCCAAGTCATTTATTTATCTTGGAAGTTTGGCTTTCGTTTTTCAAGAAATGCATTCATTCCTTCCTGGCGATCACTCTAGAAGAAACAAAAGATTTAATAATTCACTGAATTTTTTTCAAATACAAATAAAATGATAGGTAATATTATAAATCGAAACTTTGAAAAGGTCATTCAAATTAGTCCTTTCAGAAGTGTAAGTGCTAAGATCAAAGACCTAAGCATTTCTTAAAATCAATAATAAATAATGCGATGTTTTATATGCTTTGCACACTATAATAAATAAATACTTTGAATAACATTTTGATTAATTTATAAACATTGTTATTTTTAATGGCAAAATTTTCATTGAAGGAAAATATTGTAGCGAACCCTTTTTATAGGCAGCACAATTATTTTCTTCGCGAGTTTCATTATAATTTAATTTCACGAAATATTCCCCTAAAGCAGTTTTAAAGCATATCACCTCAAAAAAGTCGCATGCTCAAAATTAGATTTCTTAGAAACTATTCAAGCCATTTCACTAAAATTTTGTATTTAGCCATGTAAAATTAGATACTTTGAAATGATGTAAAAATTTATATACCTTAAAATTCAAAAGTTTTACGACTGTTTTTAAATAAAAAAATATTAAATTTTATTAAAATATACTTTTTGCATGGAATTGTTTTCGGATAGAGGAATTTTATAATTGTATGGGAATATTTTTTGATTTGCTTTAAAAGTTCTTGAGATATGGCGAAATATGCAATAAATAAAATTAACATTAGGGGGGGCCCAAGGATGGATCGCTTTCCTGACAAAACTATGAGGACTATATTTCAAAGATTTCGGCTACTCCCTAAATTTTTGGGGTCAAAAATTTGAATCTGTCGAAAAAAAAAGTATGTTTTTGAGTCTGATTTTGTAACTAAAAATATTGTCGGCACGAATTAGCTTATTTTGAGTCACCTCTCCTTAACCATTAAAAAAGGAATCCCAGAATCTCAAGGTCCGATCAAAAATTATTCAGGGGGATCTATTTTTTTTTGGTCCACTGTACATCCTAAAAATAAATCTTAAATTATTAGTGAGGATTATTTTATCATTTTTTGATCTTGCGACTTTTATTCGTGCACAAAATTTTCTGGGTTTTGTAACAAGCAGTACTCATAGAAACTAACCATGAAACAATTAATCAATACAATTATCAGGGATGCAGTTTCTTTAGAAAGTAAACAGAAATTAAAATATTTCATTGAATTTTTCTCAAAGGAATTTTGTACTTATTTTAAAATCATTTTCATTTCACAAGACTACATCAAATTCAGTTGACAACATACGAAGTTAGAAATTAATTCTGTTCAAAATCTACATTCAATCGAATTTTTTTAATGCTTATATTAAATCTATTTGTAATTTTTTTATTTTAATTTTCAACAGCAAGGCAAAACAAAAGGAGAAACAACAAAGCTATCAAGCTAAAAAAGTACAATGAAGTAGAACATAAAAGTTGACCGAAGTCATTGCCTCATTAAAAGTTCCCTTGATTGCCAATACAGTGCCATCCCAGAATCAACATAACGCGATGAGCAACGATGTAGGTGAGCTCAATTCATTGGCTCTGCTAAATTACAAGGGGGGCAGTTTGCATTGTTAAAAATCCCAATATGAGGGAGATGTTCTCCCGGACAGTCATGGCCCGTCAAAAGACAGAATTTTGCAACAGCTTTGCAACCTGGACAGTCGGGAATAGACAACAGATTGTCAATTCTCCACTACTTTGACTGCAAATGGTCAAGTAGTTTTACTTTGTGATATAATTTGTTTGATACACAGCTTTGTAGAATGAAAAGATATTTTTGAACATCTTAACTGAAGCAATCTCGAGCCCTTTAGTTTCAACATTCCACAATTATGATTTTATAATATTACTCTCATTCACCATTTGTTGAAAAAAAAAATATAACAAAAACTTTTTCATCTTATGGTGTGAAAAAATTTATCTAGATGAATAAGTCTAATTGACTAGTTTAAATGTAAGTTAGTGAAATAAAAATGCAAACAATTTACGATTTAGTATATAAAATTACTCGTAGGGATTTAGTTTTTAATTTAGAAGCATGATTTTGTTTGTTTTATAGCAATTCAAAATACAAATATATGTAGTTAAGTTCCATTTTAACAAATTTAAATATAAAATCAGTCAATATTTACAAATAAAAATAGAAAATTTTACCATAAATATTTAATGAATAATAATAATTACAATTAAAACAAAAGATTTGATTATGAAAATTTACAGTCTTTGTTTTGAAGAATATTTAAATTACAAGGGCAAAACCAAAAAAAAGAAAAAAAAAAAAAAAAAAAANAAAAAAAAAAAAAAAAAAAAAAAAAAAAAAACAATATATTGATCTGCTTCTACATTTTCAAGTTTTTTAGCGAGCAAATCTAAAGAAAAGTAACAATTTTTATAGCTCGCCTAAACTCTGCAATACAAAATTTTTTTAGCTTTGAAAATTTCAATTCATTCCACTTTTTAAAGCTAATAATATATTTTTCAGCATATTGATACTTGAAACATTAATACAAATACGTTTATTCAATGTGCGGATTCAGATAAGAGGAGAAACTTCTGCAAAAAACAAAATCTCAATGAAAAAAATTTCTGCAAGCATTCATTAATTCTTGAAAACTAGTTTAAACCGTTTCATTGTCTCATCATTTTGGGGAAATACGTTTGAAAATCACAGATGTTTAATATTTATAAAACTCTATATAGATTCATACAACTACAACAGGGATAAGAGAGGTAAAAGTACAAAAAAAAAAAAATTTGAAAATAAAAATCCTAAAACTTTATGCGTTATAATAATAATAGAAAAAATACCTGAAATGTGTGCAAAAAAAAAGTAAGTAGAAAGCATTTATCAACAGAATGTTATCAACTAATAAAAATATTGATACAAGATTTTATTTACTAATTTACATTAATATGAATCTCAATGTGAGATTTTTAAATCATGCTAATAGGAATCTTGATGTTTGATTTTAAAATCTTTGTAAATAAAAATTTGGATACATAATTTTTAAGCCACTTGAATTCAAATCATGATAGTGACTTTTAAATCGCATAAATACAAATTGCAATAGATAACATAAAATTGTGAAAATATGAAACACTATGCGCAACATTAAATCGCGTAAATAGGAATTGCAATGTATGATTTAAAATCATGTGATTGTAATTTTTGTTCACATTTGTATTAGTCGGAAAAAGCTTATTAACAAATCTTTCTCTCAACCTAAGGAATTGAAAAATAATTTCGTGGAAGAAGCAGATTCTTTTTTTTATTAAATTGAAAAAAAAAAAAATGAAAAAAAAGAGGCAAAAACTCATCTTTGAAAGTCAAATGTAATGGCAGGAAAAGTACAAATGTGAGAAGCAGAGAATAAAAATTCTCAAATCAATCACAGACAAATTGACCTGCGTGTTAGGATAAGGGAACCTTGACTGTTTTTTTTCCTTCCTGTTCTTAGTAACGGTAAAAAATTTCTATGTTGGTGACAAATTTTCCAAAAATGACATTCACATGTTCCTGATAATACATATCCGTCAATATGTATTATCAAAATTTTTATGAAATTCAATTACAAACTTTTGAAATGTTTCAACACACTAAACATTAATAAAATTTTTTAAATAAGTAAAATGCAGTTTTGTGAGAAACTGAAACTATAAATTTTTTAAGCAAAATTAAAAGTCTGATTAACTTTTTTTTTTTTTTTTTGGTAATGAATTCAGCTAACTACATAATAAAATAAAAGCAGGCTTACAAAATAACAACTTTACATAAAAAGAAAGAATTGGAAATAAAAACTTACTGTAGCAAAAGTGGTATGAAACAATCGCTTTTCAGTTTTTAAACCTTGAGCAAGAGTAGTTTCAAAAGCTGTAATAAGAAGAATAAAAAATAAAACTGTGTTTGTATCTAGAATTAAAAGCCTAAATTCTAAACATGAATTAGAAATTTATTTTTCTGCACAGTGGTACTTAAAACACATCAAGAGTAAATAGAAAGTTTTGCATAGACATAAAGTAGGGGTGGATCGTTGACATAACAAGCATTAAGAACAATTTTAAATTGTCAAAATCCTAGAACAATAGCTATATCAGACGTGCCAACCTAGCAAAATTAACATTCAGGAGTTTCCCTAACAAGAATTCAGGAGATTTCAGGAGGGGTAAAAAAAGGTGCATGGTATGCAACATTTGGCACTTCTAAGGAATTTTAAGTAAAAAATTTATTAAATATAAGAATGCAAGAAATTTTACACACTAATAGAGCAATAATTGTTTAAAAATATTAAATGGAAATAAAATAATTAAACACAGATTTAGCAACACAAAACTATATTAGGTAGATACTCTTTAAATAAATACCATTTCCTTAATAAAACATTATTCAAAAACCCGACACTGTAATAAAAATACACAAAAACTTTTAAAAAATAAACAAATTGAATAAGTATTTTATTTTAAAAAACCAATTCAATACTAATGTCTGTACAATAAAGAACCAATTATCCGGGATGCTCGGGACCATCGCTATCCCGGATGTCTTAATTTCCCGGTTTCCTGGATCGACAAAAAAGTGTCGTTAATCGATGTTTTATCAAACCCAAATTACAAGGAAAAAATGTAAACACATTTTAAAGTAAGAGAAAAAAGAAAAGCACTCCTAAATCTAAAAAGGAAAAAAATTGTAGAAAAATAAAATTTAAAAGAATAAAAAAATTTGCAAGTTTAGACAAGAAAAACAAGTTTAAAAAATAATTACGATTCCTAAATCAACTAATAAACAAAACCAATGATTAAATAACGCAATATATTTCATGGGGGGGGGGGAAAATAAAAGGAAAACCTATTAATCTAAATAAAAACAACACTTGAAAATTATCGAACCGAAACGATAGTTAAAAAACGGCACTAGCATAAATATTAAAACCTAGAACAAGGCAAGATCAACGGACTTTAAAAAAAAAAAAAAAAAAAAATGAAAAAATTTGGTAATACAAATAATTTTATTGAGTGCAAAATTTATCATGAAAAAGAAAAAAAAAACGTAGTGGAATCAGAAAAACGAAACTGCAATCTGCTTCATAAAATAATTGTATGCTTAAATTAATAAACAATTCTCCTTTTTTTTTTTTTTATAAAAACGCGATTTTTAATTAAAGCAGGTGTGATTCCACATCAAGAAAAACTTGCGAATGATACCGCACTTCCAAAGAATCAGAATTTATTCAAAAGAAAAACATTTTATTTTTATTAATCGATGTCAAATAGATAAATATATTTTTCTCTTTCATCTTCTGTTCACTGATATGCATGTGCAATGCATTTTCCCCACCCCCTCGTAAATCAAACTAGCAAACGAAATCATCATGCCACTCCTTTGAGTTTAACGACCTAAAAGAGAATAAAGATCTAAAATCTTCAAGGTCGCGGAAGAAATGACGTTTCTCTGGGTAAACGGGGAAAAAAATTCTTCCCTTCCTCACATTTTCCTCTACTCAACTTCAAGGATTAGTCCAGTTTCCGCTTTTTTTTTTATATCGTTTTAGTTCAAAATGGCGGGAGAACCGAGCAAATTTTTTTTCCGGATTATCTGGATACCAGATAAATGGTTCTCTACTGTATGCATGAAAAAAAGAGTTGCAGACTTAGCTCTCCGCAATTAAGTCTTGCTAAAGTCATTGGTACATGATTTGTTGAAATTGATCCATACTTCCGTTTCGACTTAAGACATCCTTGAAATTTTTTTTTTTTAAATATACGAAGACTAAACGAATAATTGATATCACGTTGCTAGTTTACGAGCTTGTTGCCAACCGTGGAAAAATACGCATTAAAAACTATAAAAACAGCAAGATACAATATCAATTCCAACTATCGAGAGTACGAGTTTCCCCACTCCTGAACGGACGTCACTCGATAACGACATGTGACGTCATTGCATTCAACTCCACACGAAAGAAGAGGAAGATTTCACCCGCCCCCAGTGTAAGGGGGCGGGTGAAATAGGAGTGTTTTTAGAGGTAACGTTGAAGAGGGGGGAAAATAAAGCATGTTCAGCTACGCTTCAGGCAGATGGTAGTTTGATAAGAGGGGATGGAATTCAAGCTGAAAGAAAAACTTACCTTCGCACTCGCGGAAAAATTAGGTAATTTTGAGTTTGGCCGTCGATCGCAGTAAAATTCGGGAGTTTTTCAAATCAATTCCGGAGGGCGGGAGAATAACTCAAAATTCGGGAGACTCCCGCAAAATGCGGGAGAGTTGGCACGTCTGGCTATATCATAGTGCATGTGATGTGTTTTATAGTATGATTAAAACATATGCATGCATATATATATATTTTATAATGCAACGTGTTATGTAAGATATAGTCAATTCCATAGTGTCGGATGTAAGAAATGAACTATAATTTCTTAGAACAATTTTATTTATAAACTATAAATTAAACTTAAAACTATTAAAGTTGTATTTAAAATACTTAAATCATTTATTTCAAAAAAATCTGATAATAATAAGCTCACATTAAAAGGATTAAATTGTTGGTGTCTTGCATTTAAATAGAGCAATTTAGATAGTTTTTTTCTTTTTTAATTTTAATACAACATAGAATTAATTTTAAATGATTTTATCTCTGCATCGGACATAAACTTTTCAGTGTTGGAGGTAAATTGTTCTTTTTAAGACAAATTGATGTTTTAAAAATTCAGTGTTTATAATTGTATTTTAAAATGATAAATATAATTAGAAACAACGAAACTTATTCCAATTTTTATTGATAAAATTGTTTGAATTAAATGCTTTCTTAAATTGCTCTATTTTTTTGGTGATTAAAACATATGGATTATTGCGTTTTACTACATTTTTCCAACACTGTAGAATATTTTATTCGCAACAAGAAATTTTTCTACTTTAAGATATTTTTATTTTCTATGTCTAACGATTTAAAATCAATGTTGAACTAAACATACCATACTAGATTAATTTTGCTATTGGATACTAGATAACACGATACTTTTTCTTTGCATACTAGCTATTTCACATATTCTAAATACATATGCATTGTAATATTACATACTTATACAATGCATTAGCGAAACTGCTTGCCAGTAGGCAATGCAAATGTTCTGTATCTTTGAACTTTCCGTGAGGAAACTTTTCTCTTATATATTAGGCTTTGGTTAGATCGCAAATTTAGGAAAATACACCAATACTTTTTTTTTACATGACATTGAACAATTTTTTCTTGGTACCTTTTACCCCATTAACTTGATTTTTAAAAAAAAATTATTAAGGAAAGAAATATTTCTTAAATAATAATTTTTCAATTTATAATTTCTAAAAAGTATTTATAAATTTTGAATTCATAATGAATAATAAAAACAAAATTTACTTCAGGCTAAATAAAAAATAATCATATTTTACTAGTTAATAATATCTTAAATGAGGAAATGTATACTAAATGCCTCATAAGATAATTGAAAAAACAAATATACACAATCAATTTCAAATCTATTTAATTGTGCTAAATAACTTGTTCTTTAAATAAATTTAAAAAAAAATGGGGAGCAAAACTTAATAAGAGAAATTGCTTTTACTTCATCTTATAAGTAAAAAGAAATATAATGTGAGAAAAATAGGTGAAAAGGAATTAAAATATAAAAGATACAATGGTGTCGGGCGTAAAACATATTAAGTGTGGGGCGTAAAACATATTAATTATTCATTTATGAAAGAAAGATTCAATATTTAAAAAATTTAAATAGATTATACCAATGAGCTATATATATAGGATCTTACTTAAAGAAGAAAAGCAAGTTTTTATCTCTAATTTTATTTACTCAGAACAAATAATTAAGCATTTTGGTGGCCGACGTAAAATATCTGAAATCCCTTAAGAGAATTATTGAAAAAAATTAAAATGTGCAGTAATTCTACATACTCATGCAACAGGACATGTCTTTATAAAATCTACTTCAATGATTATTGACTTCACTTTGCAATATTAATAAGAAATTATCAAAAAAAATCTGAATTGTTTTTAAAAAAGTCATTTAATGCAACTAAAAATTTCAGATGATGTTGCTCTTCATTTAATACTCTATAATTAATTTGAAAATAAATTTATCAAGTTAAAAGTTAATACAAATCTTTTAACCTTCAAAATGACACCTTATTTACTAAAAAAATAGTTAATTTTAATTTTTCCTTATTTGGTTGAACTTACTGTGGTATTGCCCATTTGTATAATAGTATTAACACCAAGGAATTTGAGGTTATTTCTTTATCCATAGTTAAAACTATTAAAAAGTCTTGTCAACCCAGACAATTTCAAAGGTAAGATTAATTTAAAAAAGGTGACATGAATGATCACTAATGTAAAACGTTCAGTTACTGAGGCACTTATCACATCACTAAAGTTTTATAATTTGTTAGAAAAAATACTTTTATTTCATTTAAAAATTATACTATAGATAAAACAAAATGATTTATGAATAAAAATGCAAAAAAAAACATAACTTAAAGAATGGACAAATAGTAAATACTTGAAAAAATAATTAAGTATCTTTTAACCCTCCAAGCTTTGAGCCACTGGGTAAAATTGTACAAAAAATTTCTAGCTTCAAACTATTTTTCCATTAAATAACATGAAGAAACGAGAAGTTCAGAAAAAGCTGGGTTTAATGCTTAGAGGCCAAAAAAATAATTGATTTTTTGGATACTATAAATAAGTAGAAGATATTTCATATGAATACTTTGTAAACATCACTTTTAAATGAATTTAAGTTTAATATCAAAGAATGCTTACCATAATTTACAGATTCTTTACAAATAGATACAATCAATTTTGAATTAGAACTAATTTTCTCTCCCAGTTTAATTGCTTCATCAACAACTTTATCAGTTGGAAATACTTTGCTGACTAAACCTAAAATAACAACAAAATATATAAAAATTTCTGATGTATGGATAATATTATGTTAAGACTATAACTGAATGTATTACTCATTTCCATTTTATTACATTATTTGGAAACAAAATTTTGCTATATTTGCTGAAAACAGATTTTGTTTCATTTTTTAATGCTTTATGTCAACTCAAGTTTAATTCATAACTTACAGCACTAAATTTCATTTTTGTGTTATTTTATTTATTATGATTGGTTTGAGCTAAACTTTAAAACCTGTTCATAAACATTTTGAAAGCTTATTACAAGAATAAAATCCTTAATATTCTCAAGATAATAACTATTATATTTAATAATAATTATTAAAATTATTCCATTACAAGAAATATACTTTGAAATTAATTTAGTAAGATGTTTTATGCTAAATCATTAAACATCTAAGTTTATTTACTTCAAGCAATTAAATGCTGTACTACTCTATTTTAATTTTTATTTATTTATTTATTATTCACTGAACTTTTGAGCAACATTTTGATACATTTATTAAAAAAGAACAAATATAATAAAATTTCAAGAAAGTTAATTAATTGTATAAATTTGAATATCAAGGATAATCAAATATTGTATAAGCGTGTAATCCCTCCTACCTTACCTATCCTAAAAAATAATTAACCTCATGCATAAAGTAATATTACCAAAAAATAGTAATTGCCAATGAATATTTTTCATTATTTGTAAGGTTATAGTAAATGAAAGTATATTAATTAATTAGCCGACCGGCCTGTGTAGGGGGCAGGGAACTGTTCTTGCATCAGAAAGGTTCTGGGTTCGAATCCCGGGCAAGGCATGGATGTTTCTTTCTCTCTATCTGTGTTCTATGACCTCTTCTCCTTTGTGTGTGAATGTGACCCGCCCTATAAACGGGTTGTGGTAGTGTGAAATGGGTGACGCTGCTCTGGGCAACGAAAAGAGAGTTAGCAGTTCTGGCACTTTCTGCAGCCAATGGACAATAGTTCCAAGAGCCCGCCATTAAATAAAAAAAATTTACTAATTAATTAATTTTTAACATAAACTTTAAATGAAACTTAATTGAATTTTTGAAGAATTGCTTGACTGGAAACTGTTCATTTTTCAAACAAAAAATTTCTTTTGTGTAGAACCCTTGTTAACTGGTTCTAAACATATAGGTATATTTTTACACTAATAGGTATATTTTTATCAGGCCAATCAAATATTCAGCAAAAAGGGCTGAATATCAAATAGTGGCCTAATATTCCTTACATCCCTAATTTTAATATAAACGAATTGATCATAGGGAAAAGAAAACTACTAATTCAAAAGTCACATAAATAACAAACTGATTACTTAATTGTTCTTTAGAACTAAAAGCACATAATTTTAATTTGTATACTAGTTTTATTCATGATGCTAGTTTTTTTTAATTTTATTATTTTTTTAAAATCTCAGCACTTAAATCAAAAAAATTTTGATATTTACATAAACACTCAGAATAAATAACAATTTGTCATCGATTAATATTTTTGAGAATGTTGGAACATTTGGAAAGTGCACAACCAATATATTTCAGATAGAGGCACTGTTTGTAAAAAGGTAGGTCACCTCAGCTTTGCTAATATTTGAACAGCTTCTTCTACTAGTTCCAATTATAATTTTATTACATAAGTCAATGTTTTAAAAAATTTAATGCCATGAAGTGTAAATATGATATGTTTTCAGCCTATATATGACCATTGCTAGCTATCAAGGGAATATAAGCAATCAGAGATTTTAAAGCTAAAAATGTAACAAAATTTTCTCACAATAATTTCTGAAAGACTGTTTTTTGTAATCGCTTTCATCAAAGAAAATTAAAATAAGAGAGTATTCCAGCATCTTAAACTTGAAGTTTTAAACATATAATTTATATTAACTAGCAGAAAATAAAATGTATTTATTTGAATCAATATACATAAAATTTTTTTTCAATATGCAATTAATATTGTAAATTTTTTTTTCAATATTAATTATGTAATTAGCCTTTTTTTTACTCTGCATAGTAAAGAAACAAAATTTGTGCATATTCTTATAAGAAGCATAAAAAAAATAAAAATATTTTTGCTTAAATTGGGGGGGGGGGGAAAACANGAAAACAGACTGAAAAAATATTTTTTCTTATACAGAAAATCTTTTAACAAATACCACTACTATTTCTAACCAGGATAATATTTGATAGACAAAATTCCCAAATCATTACTCCAAAACATGGTGAATTGTAATTTCTATAATGCTCTATTTCCTCTTTGACCATAATTAAAAGCTAAGAAATAGCATTCAGCATATTCTCAAGTATTCAGTATATTCTCAATGGTTTTATAAGTTTTAGAAGAAAACCAATTCTTCAACATTTATAAAAGCGAATTTCATGAAAATCGTCTTAAGTTGATTTTCAGACTCTTTAAGTAATAATATAATGCCTAATAATAATTATAACAAAATGCTAAAATAATAAACATAAAATTCTGTCACTAGCTATTTTGAAAAAAAAAAAAATTAAACCTCATAGCGAGCAAAAGATTATATCAGAACATTTTATGGAACAATATACATAAATGACAAAACTTATAAAATGTGCAAATGGCAAACTAATGAATGTAATAATGTTTTCTACTTAAGTATAATAAAGGCTAATTTTATTGCAAAAGAATAGTAAAGCGGACAATTATTAATTTCTGGATTATTTGCTTTTAACAGAAAGCTTCAACAGTTCCCATCATAATTTTATTAATAGAGCACTCAACTGAACAACTCATTATAATAAAAAATATTAAGTATTAATTAGTTAATATTTCCTAATACAAATTTTCAATTAAAATTTGTAACTGAGTTTAAAGATTCCTAAATCAAATAAATTTAAAGCGGGATTTCAGTGATCTGGAAAGAAAATCATAGTGAATGTGCCACTTAACATATTTGAAAATAAGTAATTTAGCGGATGATCTCTAGCTCACTATTTAAAAATTCTATGATATGATTACTATATTGCTGATTGGATTGATCATTTTTAAAATCAAATGAAAGAGATGAATAAATATTTCTGAAAAAATAAAATACACAACAAGATTTGTTACTGCATCAGGTGAACATAATAAATAGGGATATGACACCTGAATTACTCACGATAAAAAGTGATAATGCAAAATTGTTAATTGAGTTTCTTTATCTTAAAATGACTAAATTCCCAAAAAAGTTTGAAACAATGAATCTTGGGGGTAAGGTTATATGTCTGGATAATGTATATAAATAGTAGACATAATAAAGAAACTATTTTATTCAAATTACACAAATGCAAAGTATAATAAAAAAAAAAAAACCTAATATAAAGAGCTATAGTTTAAGATAGACATATAAACTTGAGAGAACAATTTTAAAAAAAATGCATATTTTGTGTTATATTTAACAAAATACTTATTGAGAATCAGTCAGTAAATTACAGATTTTAGAGATAAATATTTAAAATAAAAATCATTAAATATTATTTTGTGAAATAAAAATATACCCCATCTTTCAGCTTCCTGAGCCGTAAACTGATCTCCGGTCAAGCAAACTTCCATTGCTTTTGATTTGCCAACAGCTTTAACTAATCTTTGAGTACCACCAGCACCTACAAATTATTAAAAATTTATTAAGTTTAATTATGCAGGTTGATAAAAATTATGATTAGAAAATAAATGAATTGTGCATTGATTGCAATTTACAGAAGAATATGACACAATTTTTTAAATTTGCACACAATATAAAAAGATAATACAGAAAACATGAATTTTATAATGAGCAAAATATAAAAATAAAAATGCAATAAATACAATAAAAATGCTGGAAAATTATGTTTCTTTTTGTGTGTTAAAATCCAAAATTAAATATCTAAAAAGTAGTTTATGAAATTTTAAATATATCTTTACATAAGTTTCATGTGTTAAACTACTTAGAGTTATAATTTCACTAATCAAAAACATTAGATGGAGTATTGCACATAAAATTAAACTAATTTTTTTTTTTAAACTATTAAATAAAATAACAGATAAAAATTTTTTCCAAATGCTAAAATTCTTCTTTTACATGAAATTATCTTAAGAGAAAAAAATTTTATAATTTTGTTCAAATATTTTTTGATTAGCTTAAAAAAGATATTGAGATATAGTAAAATAAAATTAATATTAAGTAGTCCTAATTCTTGACTAACCTCTAGCCTAAACTATTAGGACTATATTTTAAGGGTCAGAAATCTAAATCCATTCATAAAAAGGTTTGCTTATTTTTGGAAAGGACATTTTTTTTTATCCAATTTGATAACTTAAGACATTGTCAGCAAAAATTAATTAGTATTCTTAACTTTAGGAATTGAACTATTAAGATTCAGTACTAGTATATAAAAATGTGATCATTAGAAGTTATTCAGGAGATTCACTTATTTTCCAGTACTGTACATAACTTATGGATTTTTTTATACATTACATAAATGAATCCTATCTTAAATAAACATGCTTCTCTTCACAACTTTAGTTTATAGCTAATCCAATGCCTATATTTCATTATTAACATTAGCTTGTATAATTAGATGCCAAACATTTGTTAATGCTACTGATCAAAAAATTATGAAAGCAATTAATGAGGAAAATTTCAATTTACTCAATTTAAAATTTGTTTTTTTTAAAATTGCAATTCATTCTTCTTAATAGTTACTTTTATTTGTATAATTTTGTATACTACAAAACCCACAACAAAACTATACCTATTGCAAAAAATTGCCTAAATTTTTTATATTTTTTAAAATAATGCAAAAAAATTGAAACTTACATTTTTATAACGAAAATAATTATAAAATGAACAATATTAAAAACAGCCAGGAAATAATTAAGCACAAGATAATTTTATTCCTTACAAAATTTAAAAAAGAAGAATTTTTTTCTTTTTTTTTAAACCGTGAAACCAGAATCTTACTAAATATCATTAACAAGAAACATTATTTTAACATTAACAGGAGAAGTTAATTATGAGTATCTTTAATAAGACAGTGAATTTCTCACATAAATACTAATTAAACCATTGACAAATGTTGGTTCTACTTTTAACAGCTTCTTAGAAAATGCAAACACACATTAGGCAAATAATAATATAATTCGCCAATGTAACAGAAAATAATACATCATCAGTGCAAGAACATTTACATCATAATCCAAGCATAGTATGTTAAGCAGACAATCATTAAAAATATTACTAAAACAATTTGAGTGATATGATGTTTCAATAACCATTTTTTTAAAATTGTAAATATATATCTTTTTACCTGGTATTGTACCAATAAGAATTTCAGGTTGACCAAATTTTGCATTTTCACCAGCATATATAATGTCACACATCATTGCTAATTCACAGCCTCCACCTAACTAAATACAAAATCAGATATATTAACACTTCTTTTCCTATTATAAAAATTAATTATTTATTCACATGACTCATTTACTTCTAGATATTAAAAATATATTTTTAAATTCTTAAGAACGAAAGTCTAGCTTTCGATCCCAGCTAATGTTAAAATAACTATATTGATTTTCAAAACTTATTTCATGTTTTATTCTATTTGCTATGGTACACATTTCAGCACAATTTTTTTCCCCTTGAAATTTGGCTTAAATTTAAATTGTTCGAAATTTTTGATGCAAAAAAATAATAATATTAATATCAAATATAATTTTATAGAAAAAAAAATGCATTAAAACATATTCTACAACAAGAGGAATCAAATAGAAAAAGTTTTTAAAAATTATATAAGTTGGCCATTTCAATTGCAACATGGGATGGGATAGAGCGATGTTTTCCAATTTAATTCATTTGAAGGATCAGTAAAATAATTCAGTATTTTATCATGGACGTGTAAGGTTATTAATTTGGACTATCAATATCTACATATAGAAATTTGTCTTAAATTTAAATTATTTTTATATAAATTTTTATATAAAAATATAGTAAATATAACTTTACGTTCTTTTTTAAAAAATGCATTAAAATGTATTCTACAATAAGGGGAATAAATCAGGAAAAGTTTAAAAAAAATTATATACATCAAAGTTGTTAATTTATTAATTGTAACATGGGATGTGAAAGAGCAGCATTTCTCAATCCGATTTACTCGTAGGATCAGTAAAATACTTCGGTGTTTTATCGCAGACCAGTTAGGTTAATAATTTTGAACTACTTGCATTATTTTTACATATAGAAAATTGTGGAATCGAACATTTTTGTTGACCAGTTTGTATCTGATCACTCACATACGTTCTACAATGAAAAATAATCTCGAACCGAAACCTATTAAAACATAAATAATATTTATATAAATTATAATACAAATATTGAGAAACAATAAGATAGAGATTGGTTTCTAACAAAATCTGTTAACATCTGTCTTAAGTATGAAATACATACAGAAATTATGATTAACAGCCACAGAAATCAGTAAAAGATAACTTATAAATAATATAAAATGTTGGAATGGGTTAGTTATATAGATTGCTAAATATGATGGTTTCTACTAACTGTTAAAATTTAAAATTTTTTTCTTCTTAATACAATGGCTAGAATTTAATTTTTGACATGAAATAAGTGAAATTTCAAAGGAATCTTAACAACATATATAGTTCCTGTACTTAAAGATGTATTAAGTATATCCTTTTTTACCACCGAAGAACAATGCTTTGGCGGTATTTTTTATTTTGGTTCTTAAAAAGATCAACTAGGATCAAAAAGATCAACTTGGTCTCAAAGAAAAGCAGAACAGTATAAGAAATAACTAGAGAAGATTTAAAAATACATTCAGTTCAAAAGGGATATTTAGATAAAATTAATTCTCTCCTTCTTTTCATTGTTGATTAGAAAGAATTAATTTCACCACTATATTTACTTTTTGATTACAATCAAACCACTAATAATTTAGGATATAACTTAACAATAATCCTTTTAACAAGTTAAAACTCAGCCTGGGTAATTTAAAATAAAACAGTGATTTCGCTAGACTTTTAAGTTTAATTTCCAGGTTGTTGTTTTTCCCCCAAGAGAAGATCTATATTTAAAATATGAATTCTCTGTCTCTTTACCCACCTATTAATAATTACATTCATAATTTTTCTATCTATTGACAGAAAAATAAAGAGTTCTCAAAGATGAGGAGCTATATTTAAACAATTAATGCTCTTAATTAGGACAGATCAAATACCTGCATCAAGGAAAAGCAAAGAAGTAATTTGATAATCTGTTTTCTAATTTTCTATTTCAGCTATTCATAAAGAAATGTTTTTAAATATTTAAAGTTCGTTTGAAATTTTACCTACATTAATCTGGAGGACAGGCTATGTCCGAGCACGCTTCATAACATATTTTTCACCTTCATTCTGTGATTCTCAGCATATTCGATTCAATATAGCTCTAAGGGGAATCGATGATATTAAGAGTAAAAGATTCAACAGTAACTATTTCATTATGAATTAAATAATTAGCATGGATTTAATTAATGAAGAAACTCCAAAAAATATTAGTACATGATTTAAAGGTAATAAATAGCATCATAATGTAGATACACCAAATGATAGTATTACAATAATTATATACAAATAGTATTTTAATGTATAATTTAAGTACTATAAGTGTTCGTCACACTATTAGTAAGAGAAAACAAATTGGTAAAAGTATATAACTAACTGCAAATCCATTCACGGCAGCGATGGTTGGTTTCTTAGTATTGGCCACTCTGTCCCAGGATGATAAAAAGTTTCCAGAAGCAACTTGAGCAAATGTATAATCCTGCATTTGTTTGATATCGGCTCCAGCTGAAATTTATATATTCATCATTTTTTCGCTAAATTTTGATATAAACATACGTATCAAGCAATGGTCAATGATTTATATGTATATATCAAACTCTTGCAAAGTTTTTCATTAAAGCACATAATTTATATGTATATATCAAACTCTTACAAAGTTTTCCATTAAAGCACATGATTTATATGTAAATATCAATCTCTTTCAAAGTTTTTCAGACATTTTTTTCACAAATCCTCAAATAATTTTGATGATCGGTTATAAAATAATACAGTATTGCATATATGGCGATTGTTTTTGATTTTTATAAATGGTATTTACTAGTGACAGCCAATATGCGCTTTAGCCAAGTCAGTAATTGTGATCTACCCTGACCTTTCTAACCTTCATTTAACATTAAATTTATTAATAATATAACATATTTTACAGCATTAGACATCTATGATTAACAGTGTAAAATATGACATAAAACTAAACAATTCACATTGTTTTAAGTAATTACTGAAAATTTATTTAAAATTTACCTATTAAATTTATATTTATTTCAATCTGTCATTAGTGTGCTTTACATTGCTATACAACAATTTAAGCTTCTAAGCAGTGCACATGGCAAATATCGGAGGTGCTCAACACATTAATATATCACCCTGGGTTTTAAAAATTTTTATTTAATACTTTTATATTAGGAATATAACAAATATTCTGCTACTGTTCAGAATTTAGCCCTTTTGCTGAATATTTGGTTGGCCAAATGTTTGACCAAATATTCTACCGAATGTTCGGTCGAATATACTGTGAAGTACTTTTTGTAAAAGCACTTTTTTTATTAAGTTTTTTTCTTCTTTTTGCTGGGAATTTGAATAGATTTAATAAAGGATAATCTAAAATCGTATTTTTTACTACACATTATTAGAAACAGTTTTTACACATATTTGCTAAGTTCTAAAACATGTTAATTTATGTTCTGAAAGACAATTGGAAAAGCAAAATTTGAAACTAGATTACAGTACAAAATTTCATCAGTACAAATATCATGCACAAAAACACATTATATATTGAAAAGATGTATCATAATTAAATTAAGATTATGCTGAAAAGTAAAATAGAATTTTGACAAACACTTAGTATAATTCACAATAAAACATAACAATTAAGGTTACCAGCAAATGCACGTTCACTTCCAGTTATAACTATTGCTCCAATTTCTTTGTCACCTTCTAAAGTGTCGAGAGCAGTAGCGATTTCCTGCATTAAAGGATCACAAAGAGCATTCAGGGCTTTCTTGCGATTCAGAGTGATAAGACCAATATTCTTCTTTTCACCAGTCTTCTCAACTTTTATAAATTCATAGTTAGCCGCTAGAATAAATTAAAATTTTTAATATTAATTAGAAAATTAATAATTTTGATGATTGGTTATAATAATTATTATAATAAACAAAAAGAAAAAATGAAATGGATGAAAATTGATATATCAACTTCAGATTATTTCAAACTTTAGTTTGGAAGAGTTTTGGGTTTAACTAAGGTAACCAGTATTTTCAAAAGACGAGATAGCTGGTAACAAAATTTCTATTTGGATATTTGAGAACCCACTGCTTCACTTTTTCAATTTAATATTCTGAGAGCAAAAATCTGTAAGCAAAATTACATGGAGAAAAAAAAAACAGAAGATGTTCAATTGTTGCACAAATGAGTATTAAAACTAACATATAGACCAAAAATAAATTCTGTGATTTACAAAAACTTGCAAAGAACCCATTTGAAAATGATACTGCGGACATATTTGATGTTGAAATATANCGGCAAAAACTCCAACCCTGCAAAGAACCCATTTGAAAATGATACTGCGGAAATATTCGATGTTGAAATATAATAATGTTTGGAAAAAGTATGACCTGTCATTAGATTGCTCCAAGCTCATCAATTAAAGTGGTTCTAAGTTAATACTTCTAACCTATATTTAAATTTAAGGCCTTTTTATGGACTTTTCGAATCTATTTTTCAAGTAAAGTCATTGAAATCAGAATTTTTGTTGTTGAAATTTTGATGTTTTTTGTAGTTTAATCAATTTTATGTAAGCATGTAAAAAGCTTGTAGCTAGGCAAAAAATTTTTTTTAAAGTAAATCTTTTATATAGGGATGCACAATCATTTTTGGGGCATCGGCTTCAAAAAATACAAAATAGTGTAGGAGACCATTATTAACATAATGCTGCTATTATGAAAATACAAGGAATATTTAGGTCTTGTTTGAAAGTAAAATGAGTTACAAAAAATTAATTTTTTGCTTTGATGCAGAGAATAAAAATAACTAATCTGATTATAACAACATACTTGTAACAAACATGATGTAAACAAACATACTTATTAGATTACAAAGTAAATAAAGGTAAATGTAGAACAAACAAAAAAAAAAGGTTATTTAAAATTACATTCATCCTAAAAGTTAACTTTGACTATTAACCAGAAAACAAGATTTGTTTCTAATAAAATATTAGATAAAATTGATGATCTTTGTTAGAATTTTGAAATTATAATTTTTTATTTATCTTATTGTCTTTTTAATTTCTTATTTCGTTTTTTTAACTTATATAAGTAAACTCTTAAGTAATGGCAATTTACAACAAACATTGAAACCATTGCATTAACAGACCTTGCATAAGTACAGGCAAGTTTTTCACATTTGACTGTTTTGACCAGTTTTTACCATGATCTTAATTATCATGTCAAAAACTTTTTTGCGTGATACATCCAAAACCAAAATATTTGATGACTTTGTATTTTCATTTTATTTCAACTAATTAAAATAAAAAGTGCAGCTTAAAACTTTAGATTTAAAAAAAAAAGTTATAAAAGATATTTGACACAAAATGACTTAAGATTACTGATAAAATATTATAATGTACCCAAGGGCGCCGGCAGAATAATATAAAAGGGGGTGCAACCCTCTAACAAACTACCCTCCCCTCCCCCCGAAAAAAAATTAAAATATTCTGCTATTACATTTTGTTTTGTTATTACATATACTTTCATCTGTTCATTTTTTCAAGATACGTTTCTTCATTGTTAGTAAGATATTTAAAAAAAAGTACGAATTTCTTGTACTTACAAATTTTGCCCAGAGGCGATCGCGCTGGCATAGCTACTGACTTTGAAGCACAAATAACTACAAACAGTAGTTTCGTATACTAACGTGTTTGTGCACGCTTAACATTGGTATTTATTGTGTTGATGAAGTTTTACAGTTGCGAGAAGTCAGCTTGTGTTATACACCTTTGTTAAACTGAATAACTAATAGAAAATATATTATTTACATTTTATTAAATGAAATTTAAAAATATAGCTTAGATATCTGCCAAGTTTGTGAATGCTCAGTGTGCATAAGAAAAGAATCAAAGATGACTCAGAATTCATTGAAAAAGTTAAAAACAGATTTAGACATCAAACAAGACGATTACAATTCTTGTTTGATTAAACAATTTTTAAATTGTTATGTATCAATAATTACTTAATTATTTGTTTTTCCATAAAAATATGTTTAACAAAAAAATTTTAAAATTTTTCTGTATCTCTTTTAATTGTTTTTAAAAAAAAGCCAGGGGGGTGCAAGTGCACCCCGCTGCCGGCGCCCTTGAATGTACCTATTCTTACAGCTAAATAAAGAAAAATATGCAAAGGTAATCACTTGATATCACTTTAATACAATAATTCTTATTTTTAAAAATGCCATTTTACATACAATTGAGGTTTTTATTATGAAAATTTTCAATTAAATCAAAGTTTTTAAAATGAGATAAAATGACAGAGGCCCCTTAATTAGTTTATCTTTAGTTACAAATTTTGAATATATATTTTCAAATTATTATTCAGGTATCCAGGGGCATAGTAAAAAATATTTGTCACAAATCAAAATGAGGTATAAATCACATTTTTTACTAATTTAATTTGATAGTATGTAAAAATATTCACGTATAAAATACAAGTAATTGCAAAATTAATTAATTGCAACAAAAATTTTGTTAAGAATGTATTGTCTGCTGGACCATAAAATAAGAAAAAAAAGTAAATTTTTGATAGTTTTTATGGGTAAAAATACGGTTTTAACCTTTAAGTAGTTAGAAAACAGATTTTGGCATTAGAAACCCCACCCTGATTACAATAAATCTAAACAAAAATTTGTAAACTAGGGAAAATTTTTTAAAGCTTTTTCAAACGATAAATTGCAACTCATTGCCCTGGTAGCAAACATCCTACAGTATGGTAGTGGACGTTGCAGATTATCATAGCACCTGAAGAAGATAAATTTTTTTCGTCACAGATTATCTAATTTTAACAAATACAGTTTTTGCCTGAAAGTGTTTTGGTCACTGGCGAATTTGATTTCATATAAACTTTACAGGGTTCAAATTAGGAAAAGATTTTTAACACTGGCAACAAAAATAATAAATAAAAATAAAAAAGTTTAGAGCAAATCGACATTTTAATGGGGCTAAAAGAAATTTCGAACTAAAGTACGGGCTTCCTTGTCCAGATCGCGATTCTGATAAAGTATTTTAAGAACTTTGATGAAATGAATATATTACATGAAATTAATAGAGGTTAATAAAAACTTGGGAGCTTACGCATACACAGTATTTGTATGATAAATGAAGAAATGTTATTAACTGAAATATTTATTCCTAAATTTAGCTTACCTGCAGAAAAACCTCTTGCATTAAAAATACAAATTTTAGGTGTCGATTTCAAATATGATGCTTGCTTTACAAAAGTAGAGCCAATTCTCATAAAAAGTGACATTTTAAGCAAATATAAATTGAATTATAAAAGAATGAAGCAAACTATAGACAGAGACACTATTTTCAAGCCGCTAGCAACAAGACCGCAACCCAATTGTAAACAAAACACCCGTTCATAATTTGCAAGGCTGAACTAGATCAACTCGTTATCGAGTTTCACGTTCGAAAGATTTAAATAATTTATCGTTTGTAAACTGTTTAATTTTCAAAAAATGCATTAAACTTTTTCGTTTCAAAGATTATTTTTTGTTTCATTATTAGAATTCTTAGTTTCTTTATCGATCACACCCCCTGTGGACTGATCGCAAAGACACGGTTCCCAGTAGAACACCGAAGAAGCGGATGGGTGACCACTTTGATTAGCCTGAGTAGGGACCAGTGATGCGAGGTATACTGTTCTACAGTAAGGTGCTCGACTTCTCGCGCAGGTCGCCAGGCTACCAAAGTAGGGGACCCAACCCCTCTGCAGAGGATCAGAATTGATGGCATCTTCGGATCATCCTCTGGGATGTTTCCCACACCGTCGCCAATAGGCCATTGAGCAGCTCTAGTGCGACGTAAGTAAAGTACCTACCTACCTTCTTTATCAATCACGCAGTGGTGTCTCCGAGTTTAAGCGCTTCAAGGGCTTTGCGATCATAAAATTGAAACAGTAAACTGATGTCTCTTGATTTTCAGAGAACGAATGAAACTCAATAGTTCAAAAATTCGGTGGTATTTCAAAACTTCAAGTGTGTTTTGTTGTATACTGATGGCGTTACTACTTCAAACAATCAAATAAAATAACAAGGTTTCACTTAACTTGCTGTTCTTAATAATATTCGAAGCTGAAACGTCAACCTGAGATTCTATTTCCGGGTTGGCAGAAACAATATATTTAATAACAGCAAGGTAAGTGAAATATTGTTATTTTATTTGATTGTTTGAAGTAGTGTTGAAGTACAACATTTGGCATCCCTGCCGGGATGACGTATTTAGTAGAGTATATTTGATGATAAATAATAAAGAATTTACAGTGTGAATAGAATATGGGATAGGAGTAAAGATAAACAATAAAACATTTAGAATTAGAATTGTTTATTCATATTAGAATACTGTTATATTTATAAATATAGGAAACATCGAAATTGATGAACTTTTGAAATTAGAACAAATTAATACTGATGATTTAGAAGAAACTTTAGAATTTTTAATTAGTAACTTTGATTCTTTAACTAAGATTGATTTAGAATCTCAGGTTGACGTTTCAGCTTCGAATATTATTAAGAACAGCAAGGTAAGTGAAACCTTGTTATTTTATTTGAGTGTTTGAAGTAGTAACGCCATTAGTATAGAACAATTTTGTGATTGCAAGAATTATTCTTAGTGTCTTTATCGGAATGTTTTCGAGACTGATTATGATCTATTTCTGTCTCATTCGGTTAAATAAATATCGAAGTAAATTTCTTTTTAAATAATTCTCTAAACTGTATAAAATAAATAAGAATATACTTTTGAAGAAATAAATATAAACCCAAGCCTTTAAATTTTACAGATTAGAGAGTAAAAAAGAAAAAAAAAGGATAAGAAAAAAGAAAAGAAAATGAACGAATAAAATTTAACTAGTTATTTTAATTTTTATGTAAGATAATACTCGTCTTATATATAATTCTTTAAAAAAAAATAAATAAAAAAGTTGCGGAATAAATGGAGATTTGGTAGGTAGAGGCTTAGAGAAGCTAGGCAGAACATACATGTTCTGCGTAGCTTCTGTAAACCAGGGTGGCCAGCAGAAAATTTCTTCGGGGTGGGGAAGAAATCAGGAAAATCTTTCTTAAAATGCTTCGAAAACTCATTATAGTTAATTTTTTTTACATATGCATCAAAACTTTTGGAATTAAAAAAATACGATAATATTTTTGATACAAAAATTTGCTTTTTACACATTTAAAATTTGATTTATGAAAAAAATTATAATAAATAATATATTTTATTAAAATTAAATATGTTATGAGCATAAAGAAGTTACATAACTTCTGGTTTGTTTTAGTTATACAGTCACATTATAAATAACAATTTTTTTCCTAGAATAATTATTCTTAGTTTCAAAATATTACTACGTAAAGAAATGTGTCCTGTCTGACAAGCATTTTTATGTTTTCCATAAAAAAAAAAAAAAAAATTGTTTAATTTTTTTAATAATGTAGAACATGCAAAGAACATGTATATAGACCATTTATATATGTACCTATCTTATCTATGTTATCTGTATGCTATATCTTATGTATACTATCTATAATGAACTTCGCTATAAATTAAAAAAAAAATATTTTGCATTCTTGTGGTTGTTTTATGCTAAGTACATTTCAGTATAAGCACTCGAAAGATTTGATGCTCTGCACTTATAGCACTTTAATACAATAAACTGCTAAAATAAATAGAATTATAATTTTATTTTTATAACAGCATGATTTTATAATGATTATGGCAGACTTGACTTATTTAAACATCGGAAATGTTATAATTAGCAAATCGTGTAAGTATATAATTTAACAATAATTACAATTAATAAATTGAATTAGTCACTATCATTTTGAGTGTCATAGCTTATTTTGGATTTTTGTTTTTTTAAGCATAGATTTACTTCTTCATGAAATTATTTTGTTTTGTTTACATCGCAAAAAAGGTTTAGAAATTCAGAAAGAAATCGTGTACAGAGGAATAACTCCAAAGAAATAAGATTCTTGAAAATCGGTACTATAGCGTAAATTCCAGATTTATTGTAGCGATTAATGACATTTCAGTTTAGCTTTATACGTTAAACAATGCATACCTTTTTTTTTCTTCATAAAATACTTATATGAGATTCTGAAAAATAATTTAGTATTATTAGCGTGTTCATTTAAAAATAAATAATTAAACATTTTGAATTTAAAGCGAATTTCTTTTAGCAGATTAAGAATATTTTTTCGAGCAGAAGTTGGATTTAAATAGCCATCTATTTTACACCCAAAAATGTCATCAATCAATAAACATCTTTATAGAATATGAGTCCTCATTCATATCAATGATGAACTAATATATTCTAACCTGTATGTTTGTGTTTGTCTTTTTTCTTTTCTTTTCTTATTTTAGATGTTTTCCCCCCCCCTAGTTTACAATAAAATGTTCAGTTTTTATCTAGTTCTTAAAAATAAAACTGTAATTTTGAAATTGAAATTCCTGATTATGCATTCCACCACTTTTTTTTCTTCTTCAATCGTGTACGATGACTTTTTAATTAGTATGAGTCAAAGTCTTCATCAATACTCCATCTTCAGTTCCGTTTAAAATATCTTTTATGTGAAAACTATTTCTTTTTATATTTTATATCCGACTTTGAACAGCTGACCCAATTTTGGGTTTACGACTACTAATGTTCAAATGCGTAGCCTTGTAACTCTGAACCAACCTAAGAAGACAAGGAAACTCCTGGATCAATAACCCCAGAGATATTGATTTGTTATGGGAACATGGAGGACTTTGCGACTCGACAGATTTAGCGTACATCAGTCACCATTTACAACATGGGGAGTCTTCGGCCGGTGGGGATCGAACCCACGAATTCTTGGCTATGGGCCCAGCGCAACCCAAAGCAAACGATAAACATATATTTTAAGAATGATTATTTATTTTCACTTTTCTTCTTTAGTCAGATTTAAAAAAAAAAAATAATCACATTCATTTTACAAATCAAGATCTTAAAACAATCCCGTCTAACGAATACAATGGCATGCATGTTGGATGGGAAGCCACAAAATGGTTGCGTTGAACAAAAATATTCAGCGAAAAATTGCATTTTAAACTCGGAACTATCCTAATCTCCTACTCAAGAAAGAAAACATTATTACGAAGCATTAAGTCCTCATTACGCAATCATGATAAGCACCTCTTCTAGAAAAGTTCTAAAAAGTGCTGGAACGCCAAGCTAAAGTCTCCCCCTTAATTTCACTCTTATCTAAGGCATACCGCCACTAAGCTTAAAGCTTTGGCATAAAGAGCGCTTCCCAAATAAAGTGCCAGCTAGGGAAGCAATAAAACAGAATTCTAGATTTTATTGCTCGGCCGGGCAGCAGGAAAACGCAAAATGGCCTCCGTTATTAAATGTAAATCATCCAGATCCTTTCCCGCGTCGTCTCTTCACAAAATGAATATCTCCTTCGCCCTTTGCTTAAATGCCGAGAAGACGATATATCGTAGAACTTTTCAAAGTGGCGCCTTCTTCTAAAACCGCAGTTTTCAGAGAGAGTAAATGAATTGCCTGGTAGATGAACACACTGCGAAGTGTTCTATAGCACCTTTCAAGCAATTAGAACACAGCTAGCTAGATATGGCGGATTTGTTGCGGCAGTAAATGCTGAGAACCAGAAAAAAAAATGTGTTTTTACCAATTGGTAATAATTCCTATTTGGCATCTGAATGCATTTGAAGAATAAAGGGAAAAATAATTCTGAAATTCTTACTCATCAATACTATATCATACAATATATCATCAGTGACTATATCAGGTGTTTCGAAATCACTGCCCTTAATCTATATTTTTTTTAGAGATTTTCTTCAAAGATGATTAAAATCGTAGTTGATAGGTATGGAAAATTTCTATTTGTTGAAGAAAAAAATAAAATAAGAAGAATATTAGCAAATTCTAATCTAGATCAACCATAATCTTGATACTCAATCACTAATACTCAACGAATCAATATCAATATTGAAAGAATCAATATCAAGGTCAACCAAATTTAATTAAAACCTAATTTATTTGACGGATGAAACTGGAAAACAGCGAAAAATGATTATTTAAAACAAGTGCATGTTTTATTAAAAAAAATTCCTTTAAACCTTTTAATCACATTTTTGGTTTTACTTTTGTAATAGAACATTTTGATAATTTTAACATTTAACTATGCTTTTCAAAAGCTGGAGAATTTTAATTTTAGTAGTTCAGAACTCGCTACAACTTAGTTTATAGCTTTTTGTTGGCCATGGAATTTAATTTTTTCGGTGTACGTAAGAGGATTTAACTTCGAGGATCAGCTATATATATTCTTCGATTTCATATTTTTTTACAATGCGTTTATCAAAAAAAATTAGCTATATTAGTAAAATTGCCACAAAACGGAAAAAGTAAACATATTTCTAAAATTTTGCGAAAAAAAAGTAAGTACGAGACTAAGACTAAGCGTAGTTTTTGAAAGTGAACTAATATCACTACATTGTTGGACGATAAGGAACTAACTTTTTGGATATTATTCTTTTTCGTAATCTGGGAAAG